AAAAACAGATAGGTATTTTTCAATGTTCCTAAGATCTATGCACCTGAGCATGGAACCAACACAATAGACACAAGCGGCTTGATAGTTTAGAGAGAGAGAGAGAGAAAGAGATAAAATTGAGTAGAGAGAGAGAGAGTTAGCCCACTGGTTTGCTTGTTGGAATTATAGAGAATAATCTATTGAGAGAGGTTCCAAAATTGTTCCAAGTGTCCAAAATCGTATGGGTAGGAGGGCCTTTATTATAGAGCACCAATAGGTTGCTTATTTCGTGTTGTGGTGGTTACATGCATCACCCAACAGCTACAAGTTACATGAGTTACATACACTCCAATAGCTACAAGTTACATGAGTTACATGTACCCCAACAACTACAAGTTACATGAGTTACATATGCTTAATGGCTGCTGTTACAAGCCTCCATCTCATCAACGGCTAGATGACTGTTAGATGTACCACACGCATCAACGGCTAGATGATTGTTGGATCTCCCTATGAACCAGGCTCACAGATCCACGTGCCCGACCCGCACACGTTCTAGGGTGAGGGGTGCCTCATGCGCCGATGCGAGCATGCAACTGTAAAGTGCGCCATCGAGTGCCACTGCGCCAACGCTCTCGCCCATGCCCTCACCCTTGCACAGGCACACACACATGCACACGCATATGCGCTTGTGCGTCGCACGCTTCACGTGCTCTGTGCATACACATTCTCTCTCTTTTGTACTTAGAGTATATTGCATGGGAATGCGTACTCTAAAATATGGCTTAACAAACTCTCTCCTCTTCAATGTGGGACCTCAAATCCACTTCTTTCTCTCTCTACAAAGGAATTTTAGGATAGTACAATAAAACCAAAGATGTTTTGAAAACATTTAAGCATTTTTCAAATAATAAATACTAACAATTTCCTCAACTATTTCAAAATAACAAGACATAGCATGGGAAACATATTATTTTCATACAATGAAAGTATATTTCGATTTGAACTTTCACTTAGAGTGTACATTATAAAGTCCATCAAGTATCGTGGTAGTATATAACTTTGAACCAAGTTGCTTATCTGACAGATCGGTAGTATAGCACACAAACAATCAACTATGGCGTCTTTTTAGCTGTCAGCATGTTTTAGGCCCTGTGCTTATATCCCGATTTCATAAGTGCTATAGAGACTAGTCTATCTCATAGGATGCGGCCTCACTTACACACTTCTATAGGTTTGTCTATTAAGAATGTCCGTGTATATAAAACACTCCGATTTATATATAGTCTATATATGATATTAAGAGCATAGCTCATCCTACCAACATACAGGTCATCACTAGACTTATCCACCGCATGGATTTTCTTAGAATGGGTGCTTATTATTATTATGATTATTATTATTATTATTATTATTATTATTATTATTATTATTATTATTATTATTCATCATCGTCATCATCATCATCATCATCATCATCATCATCATCATCATCATCATCATCATCATCATCATCATCATCATCATCATCATCATTATTATTATTATTCATGAAATATCATCAATATTAATGGTATTATGTATTTTAGTATAATAATATTGTATTATCAAGGACATGGTTTCTATGAGTCCATGTAGAAATGAGTGGACTCTTAAAAATCTATTTTTGTGACAGTTTTTTGGACCCAATTTTTAAGTATATGTAATTTCTAACATGGAGATCATGAATATAGATTTTAAGAAATAAATATAATGATTTTATGAAGAAAACATTTGGACTATTGGTTTCAATTAAAGATGGGTGCTTTATACCTTGGAGCTACATTTTATAGAAATGGGGTCAAACCCGCATGAAATAATTTTCCTATTGTCAAAACATGCTTTTACATTTAGATGAACCAAACAGGGCATTTGTTATATGCCAAGTTAATCTAAAAAGTACCCAAACGACATTGATCATTAGACCAAGTTTTAAAATACCGGAATTTGTATACCTAGGATTTGATGCATAACGAGGCTTTGCAAATATCATGCCCCAAATGGCCGAGGGGAGTGGGCGTAGTGAATCTCTAAAATGCTCCTGCGGGTACATAGAATATTTTGATATTTCCTTTCCAAAGTAAATGAAAAGGTAAAACCCAATAATTAGCTGGAAGACCTTTGTATACGTTGGTCAAGTACCTGGAAAAACAGCATCTAGGGAGTATTTGCCACGTTTGAAAAGCAGGAAAAGAAGGGAGGAAATCAAAGGAGGAGGTCTTATTTGTCAAAAAATAAATGTCGTCTCGCCAAATGTGGTGGAAAGTAGGGAATTGGTCAATTAAGGGAAAATTAAGACAAAATTTGGCTCCCACTTTCTTATTTTGGTTGCACTTTATTACTCTCATTATATATAACACAGGAAAGAATATCCCCTCTCTCATTCTCAGACACTTTAAATCTCATATGTCTCTCTCTCTCCTATAAATAGAATGGCCTCCTCACTTTTCTCTAAAAAATCTTGCCTCTCCCAACTCTGTCTCCTCATCCTCCTCTTCCTCTGCAGCTCAGCTTTTGGCACGAAAACCGAGCCACTTACCAAGAAACCAACCTCCCAAGTTCGGTTTCGAACCTCCCATGCTTGGTTTCGGTAAAGAGCATGTGACCCACCTCCATTTCTACTTCCACGATATTGTTAGCGGCCCAAAACCGATAGTCGTCGAGGTAGCAAGAGCAGACTCGATTAATAAGTCGGCCACTGGGTTCAGAGCGGTCGTGATGATCGATGATCCCCTTACAGAGGGACCCGAGGTGACCTCTAAACCGATAGGGAGGGCTCAAGGAATATATGCCTCGGCTGCTCAAGAGGAAGTTGGCCTCCTGATGACCCTCAATTATGTTTTTGTGGAGGGCAAGTACGAGGGTAGCACCCTTAGCATTCTTGGGCGCAACGCTGTGTTTAGCGGTGTGACGGAGATGGCCATTGTTGGAGGAAGTGGAACTTTTAGACTGGCGCACGGTTATGCCTTGGCCAAGACCCATACCCTTGATCTCAAAACTGGGGATGCTGTGGTCGAGTACACTGTATTGGTTCTGCATTACTGAAAAACCTGATTTTTTTCTTTTTTTTTTTTGTTTTTTTTCTTTGTTATGATATATTGAATGTTGTAGACCCCGTGAGAGGCATTGATAAAGCCCTTGCGTTATGTGAAACATAATAAGAGATGCATTTTTGTTCAGAAGAAGTCTCCGTGAGGCATATGCTATGCGTTAAAATCAAAGCCGCATTAAAACCACGCTCAAAAATGTAATTTCGTATCAAAATACATTCAAATTGATCATATCGACCTAGGCAATTACTTATATGAAAATATAATTTTGATATCAAAATCCTCTCAAATTGATCATCTTGACCTAGAAAATTATTAATACGAAAAAATAAATTTCAAATCCTAAAAATAATTTTTCGTATAACACATTTTTTAGGCCCTCCATTTTTACAAATCACTATTGTTAGAACTGAAGGGATAAAATAGTTTTTGTGAACGTAACAGGATTCTACCGGTGGAACTGCTTTTCTCTTGCTTGTCCGCTTTTTCTTTCAAACGTCTTTTTCTTTTCCACATTTTGCTTCTGTGCTATATGGTTCTCTCTCTCTTTTCTCGTTTTCCAAATTTTATCAACCTAATTGGTGACTTTTATCAACCTAATTGGTGGGCCTATATACCAAAAAAAAAAAAGAAAAAAAAGAGAGAAAGAAAACAAAAACAAAAACAAAAATATCCCTAAAAACTGAAAAAGAAAAAGAAAGTAGCAATAGCACTATAAATCAAAGATCTTAAGAAACGGTTCTAAGATATGACTCCGATTCAAAACGATTTTTTAGCCAAAAAACTAGTGGCGCAGATTTTCGCAAAATCTGTTTCCCCATGCATCACGGAATGCATACATTTATGGGATGGGATCCCTATTGGAATGGAATTTCTTTCTAAAAGAACTTATCGTAGGAAAATGGAATCACGAGTAAAATTCTTTAAAAAAGAAAAGGGTTTAGTGTTTTGAAAAATTTCCCAGGAATATGGGGAGAGAGAGAGAGAGATTGATTTATAAAGCGAAGAAAGAGAGAGATCGATTTATAAAGCCAAGTACTATGAAAACCCTAACCGAGGTGGATGAATGTCTTTGTTCTCTCTGTTGCAGGTCGATTTTGCTCTCACCCCACTTAATATCGACACAAGAATGTTGGATGAAATGGGACCAATTGAGCAATAACATTATTAAGGATATCAGAAATGGAGGAGAGAGAGCCCTGCCTTTGATGAATTTCATGAACCAGTAGTTTGTGGTACTTGTTTATTATTGAGTTAACAATTGTAACTTCATTGTTTTATGGGTGAGGTTTGTGTCATATTGCGTGCTTATACTGTAGAAATAAGGCGCACCTCTAAAATTTGATTAGAATGTCGTTTGAGTGTTAGAAACCTTTT